CGGAAGAAGGAACCTACTCCATTCAAGTGGACGAAGGTTTCCGCCCGGTTGTACATCCGCCTCGTAAAGTACCAGTCCCACTTCGAGATACCCTCAAGTTAGAGCTGGATACCATGGTGAAGAGTGGTATTCTCGCCAAGGTAATTGAGCCGACATCATGGGTCTCTAGCCTTGTTATAGTGAAGAAATATAAGGGAAAATAAGAGTATGTCTGGATCCTTGAGATCTCAACCGCGCAGTGCAACGCTCGCATTATCCACTTCCAACTATCGAGGAAGTAGCTACTCGCCTTAATGGTGCTAACGTCTTTAGCGTGTTAGATGCCAAATGTGGAATCTGGCAGGTACAACTTGACGAAAAGAGTAGTTACTTCACAACCATGAACACACCTTTTGGTCGCTATCGATGGCTCAGAATGCCATTCGGAATAAACTCAGCCCCGGAAGTATAGCAACAACGAATGCACGAGCTAGTAGAAGGACTCACAGGTGTTGAAGTCACCCCGATGATTTCCTTGTTTGCGGTTTTGGAGACTCTAATGAAGCTGCAATTGCCAACCTTGATCAGAATCTCAAGGCTTTCCTCAATCGCGCAAGAGAAAGAAGCCTCACTCTCAACAGCGAGAAGTTGAAACTTCGACAGTCACAAGTCCCTTTCATAGGACACCTCCTTACAGCGGAAGGTCTAAAACCTGACCCGTCAAAGGTACAGGCTGTAGTGGACTACTCAGTGCCCACCAATCTCGCAGAACTCAGAACGTTCTTAGGAATGGTGCAGTATCTGGCGAAATTCTGCCAACATCTGTCTACAGCATCACAGCCCTTAAAACAGTTGGAAAAGAAGGAAATAGAATGGCATTGGCAACACCCTCAAGATAAAACCTTCAAGGAGATGAAAGAGCTCATCACTGAAGCCCCAGTCCCACAGTACTTTGACGTGAGCAAGAATGTCACTTTACAGTGCGATACCTCACAATATGGCATTGGTGCAACTCTACTTCAAGAAGGATCAAGTGTCGTTATGTTATTTGTGCACCCACATGCAAAGTAATGGATTGAAAATTAGTTCTCATAATGGCTGGGAGAGGTGGAATTTGCGCACAGTCCCGTTTTCCCAAGAATACTTTTCCAGTTTTGAAAAAGTTGAAAGCATTGTTCATTGTTTATTACCTTTGTCTTTATATTTGAATACAAAGGACTTATCAGTTCCACTGGGTTTGCGCATGCGCTTTACCCTTAACCCTTTCACTCCCAAGATCTCATCAGTAATTCTCCTAACTGTCCACCATATAATTGTCATGATGTCAGTTCGGAGAATTTTGTTTTAAGATCAGCCAATAATCCCCTAATTGATATTTTACTTAATTCTCATCACTTGTCTGTCTGATTTTGTACTGTTATTGTAAGAAGAAATTCTCTCTTGATCATTCATAGGAGTTATATGAAAAGATTAATTATCTCCAAACTGAGAGGATATACAGCAGACAGCATGTATCAAGCCTCCGCGTACCTCAGTCTCTATTCCTAGAGCCTAAAATCGAGGCGGTTTTGTAGGTTCGAGTTGTTGTTATTAAAGTAGTCTTTATCTCTTCTTACGATAAAAAATTACGTATCTATGTGACAAAGTGAAAAGTTACAAAGTAGTAAAAAGTGAAAAATAATTAAACATGTAAAAAATTCTAGTTTCACAACACTGCCCTGTACCTAAAATTAGATGATTCACCCATTATTAGGAATCCCCAAAGCGTTCTTATCAACTTTAAAGCAATGACTTGATTTGTCTCTTAAATTATACTTTGTCTCCTTTTTCTTGGGGATTCCGATATCCATGACCAAACGCAGATGTCTATAAACTTTGTTCCTATTCGAAAAGTTTTTTCATAAATAAATTAAATATGCAGTTATTAGGTAGATAATGAACCGTTTTCCATAGTATCCCAGGTCATACGTGTTCGAAACAAGGCAAGCTACCCTGCGAAAGATCTGTCTTTACATAATTCATCTATCTTTTTATTTATCTTAAGAGATATCCTGGTGACTCTGAAAAACACGATGTTGTTCATATTGCTATCGAATTTTAAAAAAGTTGTTTCGTAAGAGAGCCATCCTTTCAACTGAGCGTTTCTTAGTTTTTTTTTCCTACTCTGCCAGAGCCTCGCCTACTATCAAGCTGTGGTTTTCATTTATCACTGGAGAGGCTTGAGTATACAGTAAGAAGGCTTCCTGGTATTTTCAGTGTTAGAGCAGGTTTTGGAAGGGACTAACTTGAAACATGAAAATATTGAAGGGCCGCAGCCAGGATGAAACATGGTTGAAATTTAAAAACGATCTCTGGCAAAAATGATTAAAAACTACGAGCTTTCGACTGCCCGAACTGCAGTCTTCGACGGGTAAAGTGAATGATAAGCAAGCGATGAGGGAATTTAGATTAAGACATGAACTGCGAAATAATGAGAATGAAAATGACTGAATATTTGTTAAAAAGAATGTTGTATTGTCCAGGTAACGGGCAAGAATTGTTATCTGTGTTAGGTGTCACTCTGGTATGCCACGCTTCTAAAAACAATTTGAAACAATTCATCAATGAGAAACTTCCCTCTTGTCTATTGGCTTGGATCTGAACAACTTGTTAGGTGTAACTTGGTAACTCAACTGCTGACGAGGTTGTTGTTTACGTTCTTTAAAGTGACCAATCGTTCAACCACTTGATTTTTGTCGAAAATTTACTCATGCAACACCTGCCCGGCTCTTCAAAAGGTGTACAAATATATTCAAAGTAACCTTTAACAAGTTCGACAACAAATAACTCTTTGGACTGAATTTTAATAAATATGTGTTAGTTCAAAAGAACCCTAATTTTTTCCTTTGACACTTTCCTTTTCTCTCTCGAATGAAATTTTTAAACACACTTGTTTATCTCATTTTTCTTTCTACAGAACTTTTTAAATATTGCTGAGTGATTCTTTCGCCAAAAGCAATTCACTCTAGCTTTCAGCGTGCTCGAGATGCAAGCATAACGGATATTTCATCGTCTGCTTGAACTTAGTTTAGGCTCTCCACCGTGCGGTGCGATCTGCTCTCGGTTGCCCTGCGTACAACGCTTGGGGTTTTCTCTTCTAATATTCTTCAAATAGCTGAGATACTTGGAGCGCACTGATGGGTCAAGAATTTATCGTTTATTGCACCGGTAAAATCCATAGAAAATTGAAACATACTCAGTTTTAAATTAAGTTTATTTTTTTAAGAGCAGTAGACCGAACTTTCTTTCGGTTTATCGGTATAATAACTTACGTAGATCAGGGATGTTGAGAGGACGCTCGAAATGTTTGTAAATCACCAGCCGGAAGCGAAAATTTTTACGCGTTCTCCCAACAACCCAAGCGGTTACTACGTATAAATAACCTAGTCTACCTTCTGTTGGTCGGGATTTTAAACGTTACATTAGATGAGATTGTTCTCATTCTCACTCACCCTAAAAAGCCCCACCAAGGTATTGTTCAATAAAGTACTTATTATTAATATTTTATATCGTTTTGCATCGTTTGGCTCTATGATTGGTCAAGAAACCTCGCACCACCCTCAAACAAATCAAATGGAAAACTTAACCAGGCGCTCGCATTTTCCCGCACTTCAGGGCCGGGTTGTTCAAAGCTGTGTTAAGATAACCCAGGGTTAGTGTGAAATTTGATTTCAGATCTGAAAGCTCTGAAAGAAAATTCAGCTTAATTCCATTTGTCTACAATTTGATCACTGAATGTCCTAAAAAGAACTAGGAAAAATTATCCCAAAATGGCTTTTGATTAGAGAAATTTAGAAACCTGGATTAAAATTTAACCCTGGGTTAGAGCTAATCGGCCTTTGAACAACTGGGCCCAGGCCGTTTGCTTCATTCTTATCAGTTCTAAAGTCATTTTGCTTTGCTTAGCTCCGTGATTGGACAAGAATTCTCGCACCACCCTCTAAACCGATCAAATGTAGACCTAAAACCACGCGCTAGGATTTTCCCGCGCTTCAGGCCGTTTGCTTAGTTCTTTATCAGCTCTAAGTTCATTTTGCTTTGTGTAGCTCTGTGATTGATCAAGGAACCTCGCACCACCCTCTGAACCAATCAGATGTGAAAACTAAAACCAGACGCTCGCATTTTTCCTCGCCTCAGGCTGTTTTGCTAAGTTTCTTCGATTCTCACTTATACGTAGCTATTGTAATTTCTTTTATCTCTGGTTTTACGACATTCAGACAAAGTGCATTCTACATCTAAGAAACACTAGTAGTAATAAAATTTGGTAATAAAGATTCAAACTCAGATTAAAGCTAGTCGCATTGAAGAATTACTTCTTTCAACCTTTTCATGGTAATATTTGCTCCACAAGAAATTATCACCACGTTTTGTCCTTGGAATCGTTCATGTTCCTTCAAATAAGCGGCGATTGCCACACCAGCCGCACCCTCTACGATCTAATAAATAAAACATACAACAATCAATCCAACAATTAAATAACCAACATGGTGCATTCCATTTAAAACCAGTGGTAACCTATGTAATCTGATTAGCTCTCAACAGTGCGATTCATAAAAGAATCGCACTATTTCCTGCAGTGGGATAGAACAATCAGGTTGGGGGAAGGGATGAGAGCAACACCCTTCGATAAAAGTGTTAGGTGGTCGCCCGATGCAGCAGCTTGTAAGCATCAAATCTTAGGAATCAAACATAAACGTAACTGACTCACTTTATGGTGATTTTCCATGAATTGGTAAACTGCTTTACGAATTTCTTCTTCTGACACAAGGATCCACTCGTCAACAAGATATTTACAAAGATCGAACGTCACCTAATCATCAGTAACAAAAAATATGGAAATCTAACTCTTCTTTACAGTGCGTGAATGTACAAACCTAATTTTAATCCCAAAGGAAATGACTAACATAACTCTCTTTCTTCAAAGCAAATGTCTCAAAAATAGAGCATAAAGTAAAATTTGGAAAACTAGAACTAACCCAGTGACTTAGAAGTAATTCGTATTTAGTTCTTATTAACCGGGCGGGAGGTCTGTATGGGAGAATCTTGACCGAGGTCGCCAGTACAGACCAAACGCAGTGAGGTCTGTACCAGCGACCGAGGTCAAGATTCTCCCATACAGACCCACCTAGCTCGGTTAATAAGATGTTTATTATATGGCTGTGTCTTATATGCCAATTTTTTATATTCTTTGTACCTTTTTTTTCNTAATAATGTCGATAATAAATATCCCAGCAATCAATTCTAACAAAAATTACCACAAAGATAATTTCAATTACTTGTCTTTATAACATAGCTAGCAGAGCCGCGCAATCAAATTCAGTATAGGTAAGCGTGCTCAAAATCCCGATACTGCACGCTGATAGCGTGAGCAAGTCACTTCGCCAGAAATAATTTTTTTCGCGCAAAAGGCCATTGTTAGCGCGGGGAAAAATAATATATTTCGCGACAATAATGGGTACAAACAGAGACTCGGCCCACCAGTCCCAAAACGAAGACAATTTTCCGACCTTTTCCCTTGGGCTAGAGTTCTTAAATGAGGCAGAAAAAGAGAAAAACAACGGAATAAAACCAATTCCTATTTTATATTGTTGTCCGGTTTTCGCGTCGGATTTGATGCACAATTCGACCGGCTATGTTATAAAACAATTGGGTCATGGTTTTAGCTGTGCACTATCGAGTTATGGGAAGTTTGGAGGGCACTTAAGAAGCTAGAGTTGGCTATTACCTCGGGCAACTCTTCAGGGACCGCGGAGGGGGAGGGGCTGGTAGGGCCCCCGCCCCCACTTACTGGATAAAGTCGCGCGACAGAAACAAAGTAAATACTATGATTTTATTCCTTTTTTCGATTTTCAATATGAAAAAATTATTTTAAATTGTCAGCCCACCCACTTTACACCTTGCTCCGGGGTCCCTGCTCATCCGCTTCTTTCACGCTCTCCAAACTTCCCACGTTTGTGCTCCATAACTCGATAGCGCACGCTAAAGCATGAACCAACTGTTAAACACAAGCCAGTAATCAAAGGATATCCGTGCTTGAATGAGCTTCGTGTTCGATAAGTCTCGAGTTTTCTCTACTTTACCACGAACTTTTAGATTTTCTTTCGCTTACTGTGTGAGAGAGCGGTTGTTTCTCTATGATTTCTATAAAATTGTGCGCAGGAAATTGGCACGCAACCTGCCAGAATTGAAACTCTCGGATATACCCTTCGTTACTGTTGTGTTCACACACGGAGACACACCCCCCCCCCAAAGATCCAATATCCGATATAATAAATTGCACCAAGATGCCATAATAAGAAGAAAATGCCCTTCAACGTGCGTAGAAAAGGTGCTCTGACAACATCCCCAATTCATTAGCAGTGTTTCTCTTTCGAATTGGGATTTTCGTTCCGTCTATCTTTCAATCAACACTTCAAGGGTCGTTTGAACGTTGACCAATACAAACCACGGGCGCGTATGAGAAAAGGTGTTATTTTGATGGGAAAACTAGTGGCAGCCGTGGCACTACGCAGCGATTTTATTTGCATCGTATGTTCTGCACAAACGTTGTTGTGGCAAGGCAAGGAAACATTTTACAGAAAGGTAAGTTTCTGCTAAATATTCTCATGGCACTTCCTTTTTTTTCCAACTAATGCAATGGTTTCAATAATTTTCCCTTATTTTCGAGACCACTCACTTTAATAGCATCTTTAACACTTTTCAGGTAGGCTGCAATCCCTCCTATGAGTCCCCCTCCTCCAACAGATACGAATACTGCATCAACATCAGCCAAGTCTTCGAAGATTTCCACCCTGTGTCGATTACAGAGAAAGTTGTACGTTTAAGCAAAGTAATTATGAAAACATGAACTGAAAGAGGCAATCACTTCTTCGTTTTCTTGCTAAGCGATACTTGAGATTGATTTTCCAGTTTCTCGAATAATATTCTGTGTCTACTCCGGTTTTTTTTATTTCCCTTTTCTAACATTCGGTTTATGTAATTTTTGTTTTCGGTTTTATCCAGTTCTCGGGCGTCAAAATGTTACCTCTGTCATTTTTCTCGGCGCATTTTCGATTTTGATGTAAATTTTGGCCTGTTTTCGGGTTTCTGACAAGGCTATAGGCTGTATGCGGTATTCATTCTCATGTTCCCGACGCTTTCATCCGCCCTTTAAATTCCTCAAAATTACTCAATAAGTCATTTTGTGTCTGCATCTTATCAAAGTTAAAATTTTAGAGGTAAATGTTTACAGGAAAACAGTTAAAGGTCTTAAAGGTTCCATTTGTAGTGGATACACATAAGGAATCATCGTAAGACAGAATAGTTAACAATTATTCCACGAGCGCGCGTTGGATATGAGATGATAGATAGCCAACGAGGCGCGTAGCGCCGAGTTGGCTATAATCATCTCATATCCAACAAGCACAAGTGGAATAATTGTTTTTTTATAAAAAAAAACGCCCCCAAGATATTAGACAAATCTTCTCGACTTTATTTTGTAAGAAGAAACCGGATGTTACAATGTACAGATATTAGATCATGGTATATTGGCTCATATACCGGGCTAAACCAATATAAAGTCTTGAATTGCATTATCCAATGATCCAGTTTTTAATAAAATAGAATAGAATAGAATCTTTATTTATACACGATAAGAATTAAAGCTAAGAAGCTTGAGGGGTCGTGTACCTAACAAAATAGTATCTAGCCAACTATTGATTATACTAAGACACATTTCAAACAAAATAAGAAACTATAATACAGTAAAACATTCAATTTTCCTCTCAAATTAAAAATACTTGTAATCAGTTGATCTATTCCTAGCCGTAGAACCTGATTTAATGGATGGATGGATGGATGGATAGAGGAGGTGAGTTCTAGTTTTATTTTTCTTTACAGTAATCATATTTCAAACAAAGTTTTTTGCCACTGAAAAAGTGAGGTTTACTATAAAGCTAAGCTGACAGTGTGAAAGATGGTAAATAAGGAAAAGTTTCTATTTAACTCCACATGCGAGCACTGATGAAATAAACAAATAAATAAACAAAATAACAAATAAACATTCATGAACCATTAAAACATGAAAACATAGATATTTACCCAATGGTTCCCTGCCCAGCAACAACTACAAGGTCATTATATGGAGAAACAAAGTGCATGCCACTTTCCTAAAGGTATAAGAATACCGTGAGTGTCAAACAAATGGGAAGAGAGAGGTTTTCTGGAACATTTTAAGAAGACTACTGTTGCGATACATAGAGCTTGATTTACTTGTCATGCAGTCCCATCATTATCTGTATTCCCTTATTTTGTCATTAAATGCACTTGCTACTCACTGAGTTTGCAAGGCACATTTCTTAACAGCTAGAGCACTGACTTAAAGCCTGTTTGTCATAAATTATCATGCTTCTTTCCTTTGGCTTGTTTTCTAAATGTTGAAGAAATTAGGTTACTGGCAAATGAACATGAAAGTTGCTTTCTCTCAGAGAGGGATCTTTCTAGCCTAAATAACAAAATGCATTTGACGTAAGGCTTTCTCAAGCCCTGGGAATGATGCTAGCAGCACAAAAGCACCAAGAACACTAATTATCTCCTAAAATTCATGGCACTCCTGCCAGTAATGGTTTTATTTTATTTACACAGTTGGACACTGTTGACTTGTAAGCTAGAAAGGCTGGCCTTGAATGGCTATTTCAGCTGTATTCTCATCACTATTGTGGTTAGTCAAACGCAGACTATTCCATGCTTTTACTGTATTGAGAGAAAGAAGCTTATTAACATAAGGAGTGCAGCAATGTTACTGTACCTTAGCAGCACTCCTAGCTGTCACCTCTGCTTCAACACAGTCTTCCCCATGGAACTTCACAGTCCCACCAAACTGTTTCACTACTTTCAGCTTGGCAGAAGAAGTGGTCTTTGGTACATAAATAGCTACTGGAGTGCCAACTTTACTTGATGCATATGCCTACATAAAAACAAAAAAAAAAAAAACGAACCAACAAACATTTCAAATAAAAAATTAACTTGTCACCTCATACAATCAAGATAAAATTACATGGACAATTGTCTACCACCTACACTCTTGGCTCCACTACCACTACTACAAAGGACTCTGAAGGGTGTCTGACCTTAAAAACCTCTTTTAAAATACTATTATTTAAGAAATGACCACAAAGTACATTCCTTTAATCAAGCAAGCTGTGAATGACACATTATTTAAGATATAACCAATTAAATTATTAGCTGATGATTTTCAGCGCTACCTTTTAATTCACACAACTTCTGTAGCATGAAGCTACTTTCTTAATTGAAGTAAAGTTAGTCTTTCTTCATACAGGCTCAAGTTTGCTTTATCTGAGATAATAATAACTTGTCAAAGAATAACCATACTGAAATATTTCATCTTACAGTGGCTGCTCCATGGTTTCCAGTAGAAGCTGTAATCACCCCATCTGTCAGAAACACCTCATCATTTGATTCTTTAAGGGTGAGAAGTTTATTGAAGGCTCCTCTCAGTTTAAAAGACCCTGTCATCTGTTCACTCTCTATATTAACAAAAAATAGACCATTACCACAAGATTACTGTTAATAACAACAAAACTATTGCCCACTCTCTAAATTAGAAGAAACAATTAGTAAATAAACCCCTTTGGGTGGTTGCTGGTATGTCCGCTGATAATGTCCACAGCGGAGAGATTGTCTGAAAAATGAATATTTGGCCAAGAAGCGAAACTTTGAGGGAGAATATGAAATTTTGAGGACAATTTCTTAGTCGAGGACATTATCAGCTGACATACCAGCAAGCCAGAATGGGGTTTATTTGTTTTATAACCCTCCCATTAATTTTCACATTGCAATTAAACTGTGCATAAACACAGAAAAATGCCAGTAGTGATCTGATGGCGAATGTGCGTGATTGACGCAAGCAAGCAAAAAAAAAAAAGAAAAAACAGTTTGGTTTTCTTCCATGTAAACAGGAGAATGGAAAAGTTGAAACTCTTGTGTTAACTATGTTTCTTTTTCACGGAAAAAATCAGAGGACAAATATTGA